CCTGTCATAGTCTGTAATTAGCGACATAAATGGATGATATCATGTAAAATTCGTCTGCGTTTTTACAATTTTTCGAGGTGTTTAAAAAAAAAAAAAAGAAAGAAATATTTTTAAAGCAGCCGAGTGCAACAGTGAGGCAAAATAAGATACACTGGCTAGCTTAACAATCGTAGCTTTGGGATTTTAAAAAAGATCCCCGATGTTTAGAGCCATTGAGTTTACATCTTTCTGTTCTTACTTTGGTGGCTGAGTGATAGAGGCATGTGGTGAGAATGAACGCGCCCTCTAAATCGTCAGTGCAGCAGGTGGTTGGTGATAAATCATAAAGTTTGGAAAGATGGCATCTCTTGTTTGACTGACTGCATGTTTTTGTCCTTGGTGAGTTATCACTGACACTCTTTCCGTTCTCCAGTCTTATCAAGGAGGCAGGGAAGCAGGACCCAGAGCTTGCTTATATAAGTAGCAACTTCATCACTGGCCACAGCATTGGCAAGAACCAGGCACGCAACAAACAAATGGAGGTGGAGTTCAGGAAGCAAGAGGAGGTAAGTGAGAGATAACTTGGGGATGTCAGCCATCACACTCTCTCCATGTTAGCTTCTGAGTGGTGTGGCGCTCTGTGAAAAGTCAAGTGTGACTATTTCTAAAGAGTCATTCTGACCCCGCTGACCTGTGAGGACCTTGGAACAGGTCTTAAAAATTTGTTTGGAGTTATTTAATGGTTTTCTCGAATCCTGTGAGCTAGCACTTGTGTGCACAGTGAGCACCATGGCAACAACACTTCCTCTTTCTAGACTTTTCTCGGAAATGTTGTGCACCTGGTCACCGGGTTCAGACGCTGCCGCTGAATCTGATAAGATGACTACAGGAAGAAATTGTGCTGAATATAAAAGAAAACTCGGATTTTGAAGATGAACGATGGAGAGAGATGTGGATAGCGTGCTAAATTCTTGGTTGTTTTGTTGTTATCGCTTCCTGAACTCAGGACCCCTTTTCCTTCTCTGACAGGTTCTTCGCAAATTCCGGGCTCACGAAACGAACCTTCTGATTGCCACCAGCATCGTCGAGGAAGGCGTAGATATTCCAAAGTGTAACTTGGTGGTGCGGTTTGACTTGCCTACAGAGTACAGGTCCTACGTCCAGTCCAAAGGCCGAGCTCGGGCACCTGTCTCCAACTACATCATGCTGGCTGACACTGGCAGGACCAAAGCCTTTGAAGAAGATCTCAGTACCTACAAGGCCATAGAAAAAGTAATGTTTTCTCTTTATCTGACAAGACTGAGATGCTTAGTCTGTTGATGGATTGTAAGTGTGTCAGACCCAGGAGATGTTGGCTTAGGAGCCAAATGACCTAATTTTCTCTCAAACAGATCTTAAGGAATAAGTGCTCCAAGTCAGTGGAGGTAAGTGAGTTTGAAGTGGAACAGGTGATGGATGATGACAACATTCTCCCACCCTACGTCCTGCGGTCTGAGGATGGAGGTCCTCGAGTCACCATCAACACGGCCATCGGTCACATTAACAGGTGTG